CAGATATTTCTTCTGAACAAACATGTTTTTGAATTTTATAAGTCACTGTCAACTTCGAAAAGTTTAAGATTTTGGAAAACCAGAGGTTTTGACTGGGAAAAGGTTTAAGATTCGCACCTCGACAAAATACAATTATCCTCATTTAAATGTGAATTTTACATGGTACATCTGTTTTATGTAGTCACATTGTGAATGGGAAAAATAATTTTTCACCTATGATTTTCTACACAAGGGTTCATTTTTGTGTCGCAAATATTTATGTACATGCTAGTGATACTCAAAATTCAATTCACATGTGAAAAGCCACAAAATTACATGCTGAAACCGATAACTTAATTAGTATTGGCTGATAGTGAAGTTACGTATGGTTCAGAGAAGTTATTTCAACTTGCTTCAAAGTCTTACAAAAATCCGACGCAAAACATGATAGCATTATGTAGGGTTTTCAAGGATTCGATTAAAACAACAACCACAAAAACTTAAGCCAGGAGTGGCAGACCCTACTCAGAGACAACTGAAAAATACCACTCATTGCTGTTGAATATTCAAGAGATAAATTTTACTTTAATCAGTTTCATTGTAATTTATTTGCTACAATTATGCCAATAAATTACTTAACTTATCATATAATCGTTGGCGCCCCCCGGCGCCCCTCGGCGCCTCAGCGCCCCGGGCAACTGCCCGGCTTGCCCGCCCCTCTCACCGGCCCTGGCACTAATAAACATTACATAATACTTTTGACAGGCACTGGTCGTTTTGCCTTTTTTCTAATGTATACATTCACATCTCTCAAATACAATATACAATGAATAAACTACTTTATGTTCAGGACATTACATAATTATAAGGTGCCAAACTAATAAGTTTTGGGTACCAGTCAAAAAACTGTGAACAAGATAGATACTTAAGTAAATGGTACATGCAAATGTCGAACATTTTGTAAAGGGGCCGTTCATAAAGGAGTTCACGTATTCAGGGGGTTTCCTACCCTTATAGGATGACTTATTTACACTGTTAAAAATCTGTGGAGTAATTTGCTGACTGGTATTTATTTGGTAGTAACTTCTTCCCGGGTTGGTAGCAGGATGAACATGTGGTAGGATATTTATGGGTGGTAAAATTTTCATTACCACACAGTAACACTTATTACATTATAGATATGTACGTATGCATATGTTCTTCGGATAGTAATAATTGAGTACCAATTTTCTAGGAGTATAGGATATGTACATTAATGTTTACTTAATTTTTGTGTCATTTTATTTTTGCACAGGGCAGTCGCGTTTTTTATAATCCCAAAGGAATTTCCCACATTCTCAGAAATCAATAATTACATACATATGTACATGGGCATATGATTTACCGTGACACAATAATATCCAGGCCTGTGCGGTCTTACATAGGTATTTACATGCATACAGGCCCCGATCTTGCCAAAAATCTTACCTGGGAAAAAAAAAATAGGCGCCCCAAGCCGCTCGCGCCTACGGCGCTCGCACTTTAAGTTTTTTATAACTAAATATGAATACTTATAGCATGTTCATGCCGGTGGCGCAATTTAAACAAAAATCTGTCAAAATTCGGGTTTTAAAAACGCTGTAACTTTTCGGATCTTAAGCCGATTTAAAAAATTAAACAATTTTTGCTCAGAATTATTTGAAATTATAAAAATACATTATAAAAAACCTTTTAATTCAGGGTTGGTTGAGAACCCTAACACATCCTGAACATCTTAGAATCGGAAAGTACATCAAGCACTACATATATATTTGATTGAAGTTGTGCACTTTTGAATCAATTGAAAATTTCAATTAGAAATTTAAAAGTTTAATATTGCAGTTATAGAAGCATTTTTTTAAACTTGCTAAAATTCGCCTGATTCAAATATGCACAAAGCAATTTAGATATCAACGCGAACTTAAAAACACAAAGGAAGAAATACTTATTGCAGCTGAAAAATGGGATTTGAGGTAAAAATGAGACGGTCTTGACATTTCTAAAAAACAGGAAAAAGGTACAACCACAGTTTATATGGGTTACCAGCATGAAGATTTTCAAGATCCAATAGCACCAAATATGCAAAACGACAGTTTTTATGTCGCACGATTAATTTTGTTCCCCACAGCAAATTCGATAAAGAAATCTATTACCAGGCAAGCCATTTTTTAATTTCGAATTTACAGAAATTACATTATTAACGGCATCATAATGCCGTTTTGATAAGGCGCCTAATTTATTATCCCTCTAGAAAAATATATTCAACGACCGAATAAGTTTTTTTACAACCGTTGAACAACCCAATTGTTGAGTCATCCCTTATTTAACTCAACCCTTACCATGCATATTTTGTAATACTGTTTAATATTTTAAATACTTACAATGCGATGACGCCAGCGGTCTCGCCGCGATTTTGACGAAACGACGATAATTATGTAGCCTTAGATAAATAATTAGACCCGTGTTTCAGGTTTTTTCATAATGTTCAGTTCAAACGAAATTATGACGAAATCCGTGAGCTAGAATTCCCATTTTCACCGTGAAATTTTCCTGGCAAGGGGGAGAAATACAGATTCTCCATTACGGAATCGATCACAATTTTGTTTAAGCTTAAAATGCGTGGGCATGAAGTGTTTTTCCGATTTTATGTTGCTCGTACAAATTTTCTGAAAATTTCTGAAAATTTTCAAAATTTTCAAAAATGCAACAAACCAAAATCGTAGAAAATCACTTCGTGCCCACCAATTTTAAGTTTAAACGAATTTATGATGGATTCCGTAACGGAGAATCTGTGTTTTTCTCCCTTGAGAGAAAAATGTCACGGTGAAAATGGGAATTCTAGCTCACGGATTTCTTCATAATTTCGTTTGAACTGAGCATTATGAAAAAACCTGAAACAAGTGTCTAATTATTTATCTAAGGCTACATAATTATCGTCGTTTCGTAAAAATCGCGGCGAGACCGCTGGCTTCATCGCATTGTTAGATTGGATTACCTTCTTACCAATGAGAATTTTAAAAGATGGTTCAGAATAGTGGATTCGATTTTGTTATTTCTTTCACGTGGCGTTTTTTAAATGATTTCGATGACAAAAATCGTATGAATTTGTTGTTTTGGCCCTTAGCATACATAGGAAGCTTGGTATATTTTTTATGTTCAAATGGGTTTACAAATAAAAATACGCATTGTGAAAGAAATTCTAAAACCGAGTGAACTATTCTGAACCAATTAAAAAATAATAATTTCCACTTAAGAATTTAATTGAATGCATTTAAAATATTAAAAATTGTCAAGGGCCACAGATGAAAAATCGGACGAGAAATTATTAAAGTCAATTTTGAGCGAAATGTGAAAACCGATGACCTGGTGAAGTGAAGCGCATAAGATAATCGGCAAGGGGAGAGGTGAAGTCCATATAGTTTAGCATGGTGAAAATGCTCGTTTTAGCCAGCTTAAAACCTTCACCAATTCGCGAATTTTGCAGAGATGCTCAACTGTCACACAAATTGTTGTTAGTGTTTGGTTGCTTGATATTTTTGTGCTACATTGAAGAACATCAGTATGAAAAATGTCTGACATATGCACTTTTAGTATTTCTTTAGAGTGGGGGCGCAAAAATCAATAAAACAGAAATTTTAAAAAATTGCAGTGGTCTTCCGCACATCGGAGTACTTGCGATGAGTTGTCCCAACTTTATAAAAATAGAAAACCAAGAAACAAATTTTCCAATCACAATACAGGAAAATTCAATTATATCTAGTGTAAGTCGGGGCGCCTTGCGGCACCCCTCCAGAATCTGGCGCCCCGGGCAACTGCCCGGGTTGCCCGCCCCTAAATCGGGGCCTGCATGCATATGCACATATTTATGCCTAGTTTAACAGCATGTTTAATGAAATGTATCTAATTAACAGAAAAGTTATGTAACAGGGAAAAATTGAGGTAACATTGTGCGAAACCAACGAGCTTATTATTTGGAAATGGATCATTCCATTACATAAGTCTGGAAATTTTTTATCAGGAACAACTTCATTTGCATATGAAAACAACCTGTTACTCATCTGTAAAGCTTTACAGCAAACTTATTACCTAGCGTCAGGGTATGCTACCCCGGGTTTTTGGGGTATTGGGGTATTGCGGGTTTTGGTGGGTTTTGGGGTAGCAAATTTGAGAAATACCCACGGGTAGTCGGGGTAGTCGGGGTTTTCAAATTTTACAAAATATGATAACAGGGCATTACTAGCAATTCAACAAATTATTTACTTATTAAAATATAATTAATAAGCAGTTTTGTTGCGAAATTATTGAAAAACTGATTTTTTTATTAATTTCTAAACTTAATACATGAGACACTGACTCAGTTTACCCCCAAAACCCCGACTACCCCGACTACCCCGACTACCCGCAAAACCCAGGTAAAACCCCGGGGTATGGGTTTTCAATAGCAAAACCCCGGGGTTTTCCTTACCCTGCCTAGCGTATTTAGAATGACGTGCATTTAATCCAAATGAAATTGCTTATGAGTTTATATATGTGTATGTATGTAGTTATGTACATACTGACATTTACACATTAATGTGATGGCACTGAAGTGTATGAGGAAAATCAAGGAAAAAGCTTTCTTTATTTGTCCATAATTCAAATCCTCTCTGCAATTTGTTGTTAAGATGTTGGTCGTGATTCACGACTCGTGAAATACGATAAAATAAGGTCAAAGATTTTTTAAATAAGTAGTTGTGCAACATTAATTTAGGTAAACAACGCCACAGTGGCATTAAAAAGTAAAGGCAACGTCACAGTGGCATTAAAAAGTAAAGGCAACGCCACAGTGGCATTAAAAAGTAAAGGCAACGTCACAGTGGCATTAAAAAGTAAAGGCAACGCCACAGTGGCATTAAAAGTAAAGGAAACGCCACAGTGGCATTAAAAAGTTAAGTGTTAAGGGGAAAGCGTGAGACAAATTTTGGGGCTTTGTGACACGCGCAACTGCCAAATACATAAACACGTTGGTTACTGACTTAATCGGTCAAGTTTTCGCTTTTCCGTACATTATATAATTTCACAATTGATTGTTTCGACTACAAGTAATTATAAAATGGCTTTGAGTATCATCTCAAGTTCTGAATATGCAAAGGTGTTGCAGCACATGGTAATTGGCATGATTTAATTAAGTATCCGTCTGATTTGTGACTTAATGTGACATTAATTCAAAAAAATTAATGATAATATTCTGCTTTGCAGACGACCATTATCCACTTTTGTGAGCATGGCCCCATCGACGAAAATGGGAGGAGAATGAGAATTGTTAGCTGGATATTGACCTTTATGCGGGGAATCAATGTCACTGTGGCAGAATCTCGATCCTGCATAAGGGTCATCCGCAATTTTGAGGCCTCCCCAATGACCCCAGCTACCTCATCGACTTCACACATCATGTATCCCTGGGAAGCTACCGTAAGTACATATTAATTCTAATGTGGTTGTCACCGGTGTAACGTCGCCAAAATCAGCACATTTAAAGTCATTTCTCCGCTCTAGAAGTTTATTTTAAAGTTCTGGACGATCCATTAGTACTCAGTAAGTTAATTAGTAGATTGGCAGTTAATTTTTTTTTAATTCAAATACGTCAGTTTTAATAAGATCCAATTTTTCTGAAGGCTAATAAAACTTGGGCTAATCATCCAAAAGTGAAAAGTATAAGGGCGATATTGCACGAATTTTAAGACAGGACAGAACTTTCAAGGGCCGACTTTTGTATGGAAAGTGGAGAAAATCTCTGGAATTGAGATTGGATTTTCCGGATCTGAACCATATCGTGAGTGTTTTGTATGTCTCTATAAATACATTGGTTAGAATTTGCCGGGATGGTACTAATTAAAGTTAACTAGTAATAGATAATAGTTCAAATATTTAATTAAATTAGCTACTTTATTGAGCGTGCATAAATTAATGGAAAGTGATACAACATTTTTCGAAATCCAGTATTAAACCAATACCAGACGATGCAGATATTCGACTGTACAAAAGTGGTATTGATAATTAATACCGTGTAATAATAGCTCGGTATCAAAGTTATGGCATGTCTGCAGAAGGTTTTTACGAACCTGGATAATTTTAATACCAAACAGTAGCAACTTTAACACCGAGAATTCAATACGTTCCGGACTATACCAGATTTCTAAGGATGTACTTGTTTTTAATTGTTCTAGATCGCCGCTATGTTGCACTTGTACCCGCACTTTGAAAATGAAGACATTAGCCTTCCTGCAATGCGAGCCCGTTGGGACACAGGTGACCTCACCATCCACAACAGTAAGTTTACGCAGATATGTGTGTTATTTAATTAGAGCAAACCGATTCAACTATACAAATCTTAAAATTTTGATTATCCTTTACTTTTTAGTAATCCACCCTGAAAATGAAAATGACATGGACCACAGTGGCAAGGAAAATTAATTTTTTTTGTTTAATTCCTTTCAAGCCCTATCAACCCTTTCAAAGCAAGTACTTAATAATAAGCGTTTCGACTTTGTGTTTAGTGTACAAAATGAATATCTTTCCGGTGCGTTTTTTTTATATTTATAAATATTACATTATATAATACCATATGTAGAAGTTCCTAATGTGAACTTCACATTAGGAACTTACTTTAAGTATGAATTAAACATGAGATTAAAATAAATACTCAATTTTTGCTTAATACTCTAAAAACCAAAGATCTTTCATTATAAATTTGCATACATTGTGAAGTTTACGTACGTATATGAGAAACTTGACATTTTCAATTACAGTTTTAGCTACGAATTTACATATTATATATGTACCATAGAAAACAATGAAATCATCTGTTGCACCTTTCCATAGATACATTAGAGAATTCGTTCTGTTTAACATTTGCACATTCATTTAAAACACTTCAAAATTGTGTTTTTATATTTTACAGAATTAGTAAATATTTAGGTTTTACTGTAACAAACTTATCAACCCTAAACAAAACATTTCTGTGAAGTTGTCTTGAAGTCTTTGCAATTTTCTTGGAACATTGCCGCCGATGCGCGGGAGATAAGACCATTTAACGCTCTATTCGCCAAATTTCGGTAGGTCGGGTTGCTCATGAATTGCGGCTTGTAGGCAAAATCTAAGGCGCGATCCAAAGCGAGCTCCCTCGGTCGCATCAAAGCACGAAGACGAGGCGCGGGCTGGTTCAACAAGTTGTGGAGCAAGCGATGCAGCAAGAACGTGGGAGATAAGATTCCCCCTGAGACGGTGGACAGACCCTAAAATTAAAACCGGGGCATATTAACATTTAAAAATTATTCCCTCTAAAATTTAAATTCAATAAGTACATACATTAAAAAAATTATCCATCATGAGTCTCGTCTGCTTATCGAAGGTGAACAAACTCGGGATGATAATCTGTTCGTGAATTTTTTTATAGTAAATCCTCGCCGATTCCAGATCCGGTTGAAGAAAAACGTTGTACTTATCATCAATCCCTAAGCCGTATCTAAATTACAGACAAATTAATTATATGCAAATTATACCAAATAATTTAATTTGCTAATTATCAACATATTTGTAATACCCAACCGCTGCGAAGAAGTGGTTAAACGCCCAAAAATCCTCGTCGCAAGCATCCATGGCTAAATCCTTCGGAAAGAGGATGGGATAAGCGACGACAGGATACAGCACGAGAACCATGGCTTGCTGGTTGAACAATGGCGGGACGAAATTAAAATACTTCTTGGTACTAGTGCAAGTCTCACATTGCCCACAATTCGCATTTTTCCCATCACAAACACACGTCCCGCATTGGAACGTTTTTACCTGGGCGTATTTACAGGCAGGAACGGCATTATGCTTACAGCTGGTCGCCTTGCACCCGGAACAATCGATGCATTTGGTAGTAAGGCGGGTGCACTGCGGTCCTTCACAAAGATTTACTGGCTCATACTTTTTGCATGATTTGCACTCCGTTTCGGGCGGACCAGTCGGCCACGTAGTGGGGGATGGGGTACGTTGAGATTGCGGGATTTTAGAGTTCTTCATATCACTTTCGAATGCGTCATACGAAACGTCGTTCGTGGTTTGGTTGGTGTAGTCATGCCGCGAAACGATGCACCCTTCCGAGGCTTGTTTAGCATTGGCGCGCATCTCGACATTGGCATGGATGGCGGCTACGTTGCGGACGGAGTCGATATAGGACGAGTTGCCTTCGATGGGCATGTCGTAAAAGTAGTCCTTCGCCAAAACCAGGCCCTGCATGAGGGTGGCCGTGTCTCGTTTCGCGTTGACCGGGCCGTTCATGTTCTTCTTATTGAACATGAGGGGGTTCCGGATGTCGGGAATGTTGAGCTTGATGAGGATGGCGAAAACCATGACGGCATACCAAGGGAAGTGGTATTCGGAGTTGACCTGCTGACCTCGAAGGGCTAGAGGACGGTTGAACCAGGGTGGGACGACGCCGTCTGGGCGGGGTAAGTTTCCCGAGGCGGCGCGGGCAGCTATGATCCATTCTTCGTAGGGGAGGGGACATGCGCGCAATGTGGGGGTTACGAGACTGCGAAGAATTAGGGCGAAATGAAAATTATTAGTTCTGAAATTAGATCCTCCTTACTTCCTCCCTCCAATTTTTTAAATATTGTTTTTAAATAAAACAAAACTTGAAATTTTAACAAAACAAAACCAAATTTGAAACATTTTATTCTCTCAATTTTTTTCCACTTTAAGTAAATACCTTGGATCATGAGTGCACCCCGGTTGGAACGGGATCTGGCTGCAGGGTGGGTTGAGGAACGCGATGGCCATTTGAACTCCGAAAGTAAACGCGGCAAGGCTAATGGTAAGAAGTGTGACTCCATTCATCTTTGCCGTCGGTTTGAATATTACTGAAATTATCTTTCATAAGTAATATCCATATTATTTATGTTTATTCATGGATAAACTAATAGCAACTACCGAACTTTATATGTACCATCAAGGCGGAGTTAACAAGTTAGAACTGCCAATGAGTCGAGTCAACTCATTTGCCATATGAATTCCTGAGTTCAAGTTGAGTTTGAGTCGGGAGTATAACTCGACTCATTTTGAAATGAGTTGAGAAATAATGAGTTTGAGTTTAGTTACGGAAAATGAGTTTGAGTTGCCTCATTAAAGATTTTTTTTATTGCTGGTCTGGAGATTTTGAGATTTTCAACTTTATCAAAGTAAACTGCTAAATCCCAAGTCAGTGGTTTGTGATAAAATTAACTTCTTTTGAACCTTTTTTGAACGTATTTATTGAAATAAATAGATACATGCGTTACGCCAAAAAGGTTAGTCGACATGTACGATATGAGTTGAGTTCGAGTCGTTGACATTTGAGTTGGATCGAGTTTGAGTTAAGATGAATGAGTGGAGGATTTTTTTTATTGAGTTGATTTAAGTAGTTACGAGGGGGGGGGGTAGATAAGTAATCGGCCTCGCCATGATCCGGCAACAAATTTGGAATACTTGCCCTACTACTTTTAAATGTCGTCCACAGAGAGGTTAACACACTTGGTCCGCTAAATTTCAAACACTCTATCCCGCTTTTATAAATGGTTTTCGAAAAAAGGTCAAAAACGCTGTTTTCACCTCATTAATCGTCGAAATCTCTTCCCCCTGAGGTTTTTTTTCAAAATATCGAAATATAAAGTAGTCACTAGAGGCCATGTGTGGACTGTAAAGGGGATGAAATAATTTTGGCATTTTTTGGCGTAAAAAGGCACCCTCCGAAATTTTTGATTTTTTACTGAAAATTCGCCGTCAGCATTTTCGTGAGCGACGTGATTTTTGTTCTCGTCTTTTCTCCACATCGACTTGGGTTAAACATTCAAAACTGCGGTGTAATGCGCAACAGGTATGGCCGTCTCCGGAGCCACAACATCCAGTACAGGAGTACTTCTGAGTCCCAAAATAGGTGGCCAAAGCCATCATAGCAACTTCTGTTCCCGGTTTGCTCCTTTGTGGGTGGGTGCTTCCACTGCTTGTTGTTTTGTTTAATTTCAAGGTCATAATAATGAACCTAGGTTCATTGCTTACAATGGAGGCGCAAACCATGTTCAGCCCAGATAATTTTTTGACCCTATTAGTTTGAAAGAGCAAGTCTTTACAAACAACATTTGGTTCGGCACTTGGGCAGATGCGCAAATTTCAGCACTTTATGGGCGCGCAAGTTCGCTAAAACGCACGATTTTTCGGGCAATGCCCAGCTCGAGCTCAACTTCGTGCGTTTTTGCCAACTTGCGGCGCCCATAAAGTGCTGAAATTTGCGCATCTGCCCAAGTGCCGAACCAAATGTTGTTTGTAAAGACTTGCTCTTTCAAACTAATAGGGTCAAAAAATTATATGGGCTGAACATGGTTTGCGCCTCCATTGTTAGTGATTAAATGCAAAAGGAAGTACATGTTTCCGTTTTGACGGTCTAAATCTACGTAACAAACCTGGGCTAAATTTTATCAGTTTTGCCTGTTTCGTGGTTTTTGATCACATCAGATGATCCCCTAGACTCGGCCGTGACCGTGAATTTTTAAGCTGTGAGATCTGAGATACATATGAATTTATCGCTCGCACCCACAAAAAATGTAAAGCAAAATAACTCCCCTTCAAGGCGAGGCCAATTACTTATCTACCCCCCTCGTATCACTCTCCTCAGCTCAACTCAACCCATTTACATGCCTACTGCACAGATTGATAAAACAATTCCATAAAATTATTTTGCAAGATAATTTGGCCGCTCCCTTAATTTCTGACTCAAATTTTTGCAATCTGTTCAATTTTGTAAAATAATCTCATATTTTCTGTTTTACTTTTTCCACCATCAAAATGTGGAAATTTGGTCAGCATTTTACATAAGTTAGAACTTATGGGCTCACTACATAAATAAGTAATATATTCAGAACGGCTTCGTTAGATAAAATCTGTCAATTCTGAATTTTGTAACCAACAAAAAATTTTGTTAATAGTTTGGAATTTTGATAATTTTTCGTCGACTAGTATTTGGAAAAAATTAAGCCAAAAATAATTACCGTAAAAACTCAATAGCCGGGGGCTACTATTTATAAAATCAGTGGCTGAGACCCGGCTACAATTTGAGCAAGGCTACTATTTGGGCAAGGTCACTATTTCTAAAATTATGAAGATAGACACGGCTACTATTTGCATACTACTATGATTTTTATTTCCTGAATCAAGCTCAAATTAAATTTTAAGGACAAGACCAATTTTGCCTTTAGAGTCGTAGTCTATTAGAATATTATTCTGCTCGACCTGCTCTTCAATGATTCCTTCGATGAGATAAAGTGGTGTTTTGCCATCGACTCATACATAGCTTCGATGGTGTGTAACTGCGATTATATTGAATTATAATTTAATTATCTTAATTAACTGGCCAGAAGTGTGGTTGTATGGAAAGAGAGACGCGTCTATTCGAATAAGGCTACTATTTGAGCAGGGCAACTATTTGGGCAGGGCTACTATTTGAGCACGGTCACTATTTACAAAATTTTGAAAATAGACAGGGCTACTATTTGAACACGGCTACTATTAGAGCAGCGGCTACTATTTGAGTTTTTACGGTATGTAGGAATTTGACCGGCAATAATTTTAAGGATTTTTTTCAAGAATGGGAATATACCCAATTTTCTATTAATTGTTTATGAAGAATTTGATCTAATACGGACCATAATTTGTTGACCAAAAGTCTGAATATTTACCTGCCTCTGTTTGGTGGACACCGTTAACTCGATATGATATGTGGCTATGTGGCTGGTAACATTTAAGCTTTTATACTTTTTCCAGTTCCAATGAAGCCGGGTTTGCACTATTTAAGAGCTACGTACTCAACATAATTTTATTTATGTTGGTTAAGACATGTAAATACGTAGTCGTTTAATTGCATAGACACCTATTTTCAGAGGTGGGCAATATATGTACGTGTACATATATTGAATCTACACATATATTACCAACCGTATATAATATACTTTTGGTATATTGTGCTTAAAAAGGTGTTTAAAAAAGTATATTGTATACATATGCTTTCAAACTTGGAACATAATTCGCAAGCAGACTTCAGGGCATCTTAGAATCTAAATTGTGTGTAATTTTTAAACGACAAATCATTTTGGTCTGTTTAAGAATAAAGTAAAAGTTCAATTCAATTTTACGTTTGCGACTTTCGCATTTTCATAACCATTTTAATGTTCAACGAAAAATTTTGAAGAGCAAACATTAAATTAAACTTTCTCCTTGTTTCTCCAAGTTTGGAATTACATATTGAATATACAGATGGGGAGCTCGCCCCGCTGGATACGAATTTGACCTTAGATAACCCGTGAACGGTTTGTTGTAGAGGGTCAAAATTTTGAACAGACGAGCATGTTGTCCTCAACAAATTTTGTGCAAAAAACCAACCCTCTACTGTCAAAATTGCCTCCCCCACGGCCCCCAGAAGTTGAAACAGTCATTTCAACTTGTTCCAGAAAAAATCTTTAACGTCTTTGCAAAAAATTTTATTTGAATTTTCTGCGGAGGAATAGGAGTGAGTTATTGGTGACAATCGACGAAGCACTATTTTCCCTACAAGTTACTAATTGGGTTCGAAGAGCTTACTACACGACAAATGCCGAAAAAAAATTCACGAAATTTTGTACTTTTCAGTGAGGAGAACTTTTTTAAACAGTTTGTGGTGGTGGGTGCAATGTCGGGTCGTGGTGTCCTCCCACTTATCAAAGTTCCCCAAAAAGTGAAGGAATCTTCACTTTTTGGGGGACTTTGAATTTCAATTTTTTCATTTATTTTAAATTGGTACAGTATAGCATATTTAGAATAATATTTTAGTATATTGGCTATCTACATAATTACATTTGACATACATTTTCATGTATATTTCTCACCTCTGCCTGTTTTGCATTATGTATGCACAAAAAAATTGTCTCCCATATTATATAAGGGGCTTGTCTGCACCAACAGGTTCACCACTCGGCCTCATTGTTTTTTTGTAAAGCCAAGACAAATGTAATAAGTCCAGACCTATTTTCATTGTCGATAAGGAAACTTGCATCGATTTCTTGGAAATGTTTGTAGAGACTTGTACACATCTAAACAGGTAACTAATAATTTAGATAACAATTTACACCTTGTTTGGGATGGTTGGGATAATTATGGGGTCCAGATTGAAAGTACATGCCATTTACAGATACATACACATGTGGGTTCTTCTTTCTCCCCCCTGCACCACGTACTCTCCATTCGCGCACAGTTGAACTTTTACAGAAACTGAGAATTCTGAGAAACTAAAGTCTCCCGTCCGAATGATTTGAGGCAAATTGAGACTTGCAGTTGCGTAGTTTCTCAGAATTCTCAATTTCTGTAAAAGTTCAACCTTAAATATGTGCAGTATAGTAGCTAAATCAACTTTAGAGGAGAAGAAATTTCGCGGACCGTTGGTAAAAATAGTTGGTGACTTAAACTCACCGACTAATTGAAGGATTTATGTAGGTAGCGGCGCAAAACTTTATTTCAGGTACCCAACGCCACAGTGGCATGAAAAAGTCCAGCATTATGGGGCAAGGTGAGACAATGTATGAGGCCACGTGATACAGCGCCACTGTCAAATACATTGGCATGCTGATTGGTGACTGAATCGGTTGAGTTTTCGACTTTCTCTGCATTATACATAAATCCTCAATTAATTGTTTTGATTAAAAATTCTAAAATTACATTTCTTTAAAAATGGCTTCGAGCTTAACTACCACTCCAGAGTATCCAAAGATGTTGCAGCACATGGTAATTCGCGTGATTTAATGATGTTACCATGTGATTTGTGATTTGGTGCAATTAATTAAAAAAAATTATTAAAATATTTCACTTTGCAGACCACCATCATCCACTTTTGTGAGAATGGTCCCCTCGACGAAAATGGAAGGAGGATGAGAATTGTCAACTGGATATCGACCTTTGTGCAAGGGATCAATGCCACTGTGGCAGAATATCGATCCTGCATAAGGGTCATTCGCAATTTTGAGGCCTCCCCGATGACCACTGCGCCCTCAGCAACTCCACACATCATGTATCCCTGGGAAGCTACCGTATGTAAGTTTTTATTACAATGTGGCTGTCACTGGTTTAACGTAGACCCGATGACTCATCACCAAAATCTTCAAGATCAACACATTTCTAATCATTTCTCCGCTCTTGGAATTCATTTAGCAATACTGAACGATTAATTTGTAGTCAATAAGTTTTTAATGGAATGGCGGCTATTTTTTAAAATTATAGTCAGCCAGTTTCGATAGGTTCCCATTTTTCTGAAAGCTTCTTAATCTTGAAATCTCTTCCTTCAAAAATTTCCAAATTTAGGAGTGTATGATTTTGGCAAATTGATAACGGCCTACTTTTACATTTGTCATCCATTCTTTAGAAGCAAATTTCCCGAGCCGAGAAATGATTAAAAATGTTCTGATTTTGGCTATGAGTCATCAAGTTCCACGTTAATATGTAATATTTAAACCTGAATATTTACCATTTCTTACAGAAAGCCGTGATTCAACTCGTAAACGACGTGCCAGTCGAGCGAAGGGTTACTGAAGCCGTGGTGTCATTCTTCAAAATTTTACTCATCCGGTTCAAGCCAACCACGGACGAGCTGGCCAGATTGGAAATGGAAATCTTCCGAGCTTTGCATGGGTCATCCAAAAGTGAAAACTATAAGGACGACATTGCGCGAATTTTAAGACAAGACAGAATCTTCAAGGGCCGACTTTTGTATGGAAAGTGGAGGAAATCCCTCGAGTTAAGAAGATTGGACTTTCCAGATCTTGACCATATCGTGAGTGTTTTGTATTACATATTTCTGTAAATTCATTAGTTAGAACTAGCTACGACGGTACTAATTAAAGTTAATTAGTAGTTAATACCCCTTTAATTACCTAATTAATTCATCCAGATTTCCTGCATAAATTAATGGAAAGTAAAACTACACTTTTCGAAATCCAGTATTAAAACAATACCAAGAGATATAAATATGTACTCGTATGACTCTACCAAACGGGATTGATAATTAATACCGTCTAGTAATAGCTCGGTATCAAGGTTATCGATAGCATATTTTTACGAACCACGATAATTTTAATACCAAACAGTAGCAACTTTAATACCGAGAATTCAATACCTTCCAGATTTCTAATAGTGTACCCGCACTTTGAAAATGAAGACATTAGCCTTCCGGCAATGAGAGCCCGTTGGGACAAAGGTGACCTCACCATCCACAATAGTAAGTTTGTACAGATACGTATTTGTCACTTATTTATTATAACAAACCGATCAAAATATACAAGTTTTCAAATTTTCCTTATCCTTTATTTTCCAGTAATCTTTCCGGAAAATGAGATGGACCACAGCGGCAAGGACAATTGACTTCACAAACTGGGTGGCTATATACCATAAACACTATACCATAAATTAATTCCAAATGTAAGATCCGCTTTAACACTTTGCGATTAAATATGAACTTATCTATAAACAAACGTTTATATTATCAATTATGTTTTACACATACTCCAAAAATTTAAAATCATTAATGAAATTTGCCATAAACTTAAATGCATATGTACATTTATGTGTAATTATGAAGCTTGCTTACCTCAAAATTGACATGCAAAGACAGGCCAGTTACATAAATTTAACGATTTAAATATGCGGTTTTAACTAAAAACGCAGGCCTACCATTTATTTATTTACACCTTTCCGTTAGAAAATTTGTTCCGATTAAAATTTACACCTTTATTGCGAAATATTTCAAAATTGCATATGCACTTAAATATTTTGTATATACAGTTAGTAAGCATTTTATTTTTCTCCTGTAATCTATAATAAATATTAAACAAATGCTAAACAAAATATTACTAAAACCAACTCATACTAAACAAAACATTTCCGTGCAACTGTCTGATAATCTTTACAATTTCCTCCGAACAATGCGGTCGATGCGCCGGAGATGAAAGCGCTCAACGCCGTATTTGCCAAACTTCGATACACCGGGCTTTCCATAAATTGCGGAATATATGCAAAATCTAACGCACCGTTAAGGGCGATCTCTCTGGGTTTCATCAAGGCTTGAAGACGAGGCGCGGGCTGGTTCAGAAAGTTGTGGACGAATCTATGCACCAAAAGCGTGGGGGACAAGATTCCACCCGTGACAGTGGACAGACCCTGAAATTAAGAAGGAATTAAATTAATCTGGGGCATTTTGAGACTTAAAAATTATTCCCTCCAGAACTTAAAAGTAATTCCCCACCTTAAAAACATTATCCATCATGAGCCTCGTCTGCTTATCGAAAGTGAATAAGCTCGGGATGATAATCTGTTCATGCATTTTTCGATAGTAAATCCTCGCTGATTCCAGATCCGGTTGAAGAAAGACGTTGTACTTATCATCGATCCCTATGCCGTATCTATGTAAATTACATATATGTAAATTAATTATCTACAGAACAGACTTCTAAAGCCAATTAAACCTTAGCTACTTATAATTTGGTAGCAAATTTCCATATTTATGTACACTCTACTCTGGTCTCAAAATACTGCCAAGCGATGTTCCTATTCCTACCAAAGTGCAGTAGTAGCAGTTATACCACTGCACTTTGCCACCAACTAGGCAACTACCACTTTTACCATATTTGTACCACATTGTTACATACTAATTACAATTTTAATACCAAACAATCAATATCAGTTTTCTAAGAGTGTAGGAAAATTATGATTAAACTTTCTCCACCATAACTTACGCAAGTACGGCAAACAAGTGATTGTACGCCCAGAAATCCGCATCGCACGCATTGATTGCCATACCCTCCGGAAAAAGGATGGGGTACGCGATCACAGTGTAAATCACGAAAACCATGGCCTGTTGATTGAACAATGGCGGCGTAAAATTCAAACATTTCTTGGTATTAGTACAGGTCTCACATTCCCCACAATTCTGCTTTTTATCATCGCAAATACATTTCCCGCACTTGTACGTTTCCACCTGCACATATTTACAGGTCGGGGCGGCATTCTCAGTACAACTGGACGCTTCGCACCCCGAACAATGGGTGCACTTCATCTTAAAGGTGCACCCGCCTTTTCCTTGGCAGGAGTAAAAGGGTTCGCACACTTTGCACTTTTTGCACGAATCGCACTCCGTTTCAGGTGGGCAAGTCGGCCACGTGGTGGGAGATGGGGCACGCTGAGAATGCGGAATTTTGGAGTTCTTCATATCACTTTCGAAAGCATCCCATAAAACGTCATTCGTCGTTTGATTATCAAACCGGTGAGGCGATACGATGCACCCTTCCGTTTCTTGTTTGGCGCTCGCGCGCATTTGGACCTCGTCATGGATGGCGTGCACGTTCTCGATGGATTCGATGTAGGACGAGTTGCCTTCGATGGGCATGTCGTAAAAGTAGTCCTTCGTCCAGATCAAATTTTGCATAAGGGTGGCCATGTCCCTCTTTTCGTTGCCCAGGGCGGTCGTGTGTTTTCTGTTGAACATGAGGGGGTTCCGGATGTCGGGCATGTTGAGTTGGATGAAGGTGCCGAAAAACATGACGAAGTAGTAAGGAAAGCGGTATTCCGAGGTGACCTGTTGACCTCGAAGAGCGAGAGGCCGGTTGAACCAGGACGGGATGACGCCGTCAGGACGAGGCGAGTTTCCCGGGGCGGCGCGGGAAGCTATGGCCCACTCTTCGAAGGGTAGGGGACATGCGGGTAACGTGGGGGTAACGAGGCTACAAAAATAACTACCCAATTAATTTCACAATAGTTGTATCCATTTCCAACATTTTATATCCAAAATATTCTAAAATTAAAGGTAAATTTTGAAAATTTCGTCAAATTTGAATATTTTTTCGCAATTTTTTTACGTTGAAAAACTTATTACTTACCTCAAATTATGAGTGCACCCTGGCTGGAACGGTATTTGACTGCATGACGACTTGAAAAGTGGGATTGTCACCAGGAGCACTCCGCATATAAATGACACGATGCAAAAAATTGCCAAAACTTTGATTGGCTTCATCTTTCCCACTTTGAGAATTGCTTGTTGACTAATCTTGAGACACTAATATTATTTGCACTGAATTCGGACATTTTATATGTCATCGACTGTCGTACACAGCAACCTTTTACTCAAACTTTGAGTCTCAAAGTTGTATGGGAATCTTTGTGAGTAATATACTTAGAATGACGTACGTAGGGTACTCTGCATACATGAAATTGCTTTTTGGTCGTTTAAATACAAGTGTCAACAGGTACATTGACATATTTATTAATTGCATGACACGGAAGTTTAAGGGGAAAAATGAGGAAAAAGTTTACTTTATACATTCATACATAGGTATCTCGAATCCTGTCTACAATTCGTTATCAAGACGTGCGTAGAAACCGACGATAAAATTGTTTAAAAAATTAATGGTTACATAAATTTTTGAAGCATTATTGTCATGTTTGTCATGTTGAATAAGTATGTACCTATGTACATAGTGTGCCCAACCTGGCTGTAACTAAATGGATTGAAACAGCAGGTCTAAATATGGTTAGCGGTAGAATTTTTTTATGAAGGGTTACACATGCTGAAAATTGTTATTAATCTGAGCTTTTTTCCAATTCTTGGTCGATCTTAAAAATTAAAAGAGTTTTCGAAACTTTGGACTCTAGACAACAATATAATTTCAAATTTTTAAATTTTGACCACATTTCAGATCACAAGATCAACAAATAACCAAATTGACATCGTTCTTAGAAATACGCTGTAGCTTTATTTATTATAAATTTCGAGGTCAGATACACTTGGAGCTTCAAATTGTGAACCAGAAGTTACTAAAAAAAATTGTGCGCGTGACAGGGGGTCTGGTCAACGTTAACGCCTTCATGTGCTCATAAAATTAGAATATAAAATAAAATATCAAATAATAAATTTCCTCATAAAATTAATTACTACATGCATATGTACCTGAAGAACTTACTTGGAATGACGTGTAATCTATATGCCCATGAAATTATTTTAGAGCCTGTTTATAGCTACATGCATATTATCATTTATGTAATAAATAGATATTTAATTGGATTTTATTATTTATTTATTTTTCATTTATGTAATAAATAGATATTTAATTGGATTACAAGGAAGTTTAAGTGGAAAAACGAGGAAAAAGTTTACGTCATTCGGCAGTATTTCGAATCCTGTCTGCAATCCGGTATCACGACGTGCTTAGTAATAGACGACATATTCATTGGAATGACTTTTTGAACAATTCATGGCTATATTTATTTTTAAATATTTCAATGAGACAAAGATGTGGGAGATAAGATTCCACCCGTGACGGTGACAGATTAACAAGAAATGAAATAAATAATTCTAGCATTGATAGTGATAACTCATACCGTGTAGTGACAGCACAGTATTAAAGTTTTACAATACCTCTACACTCAAAATAAAAATTTGTCGAATCAACACCGCCGGTGTCAGTATAGGACTTAACCGCCTTGGTTAAAATGTTGAATCCGAGTTGTGATGATTTTGATACCGGTAGTTATAATGTTATGACCGGACGGAAAAATTTCGTTACTACTCGGAATCACAATTGTAACCAAGGCGGTTAAGTCATATATTGACACCGTTTTGTTTTGAGTGTAGAAAATTCTTACGGACCGGTATAATTTTAATACCTAGCGGTATGAACTTTAATACCGAGAAATCAATACTTTCCTGACTATACCAGATTTATAAGAGTGTAGTTGTTTTAATTATCCACATATGTATGTTCCAGATCTCTGCAATGTTGCACTTGTACCCGCACTTTGAAAGTGATCCTTCCTGCAATAAGTGCCGGTTGGGATAAAGGTGACCTCGCCATTCACAGCAGTAAGTTTACGCAGATATTTTTTTTATTTCAAGCTATGTATGTAACTGATTACAAATTTTAAAGTTTACATTATCCTCTACATACTTTCCAGTAATCGTCCCTGAAAATGAGATGGACCACAGTGGCAAGGAAAATTAATTTTAGGTTACATGCTAAGTTTTCCAAGTAGATACTTAAAAATATGCGTTTCATTGGAATCGACTAATTGTAAGTATTGAGTGTAATGAATAACTGTGTGGCGGTTTCTTACATATTTATATTTGTACACATAGCATTATGTCATAAATAAGTAAATTATTCCCAAAGTAAAGTAAATTTTGAATTTGATGAATTAAATATGAACTAAACTATCAAATAAATATTTTATATACTCACTTTTTACTTTAATCTAATCTATGTACATACATACATACTCCAAAGACTGAAGATCAACCATTATAATAACAAATTTCTTACTACATACATAATCAATATGTATGTATTTAGTATTTAAATTTTCATAATGCATATTGTGCAGTCTATGTATCTCAAAATTGACGTTTTGAATCAAATATTTAGATTATCTAATTACCCAACAGTTACATAAATAAATTAAGCAATTCAAATGCAGTCTTAACGACTACATATTTAAATGCATATACTATGTACAATAAAATGAATGAAATCATCTAATATGTATGTATAACTCTGTATGATTAGCACATTTACATTAAAGATTTTTTTCTTTTAAGATTTACACATTTATTTCGAAACGTTCACAAAATTTTATACTTAAATAATTTACACAACTATTTAGTAAGCATTCTATTTTTCTTCTGTAACATATTTATAAATTACACAAAACATTTCTGTGAAATTGTCTTGTAGTCCCTACAATTTCCTCGGAACAATACGGTCGACGCGCCGGAGGTGAAAGCACTCAACGCCGTGTTCGCCAAACTTCGATAGGTGGGGCTTCTCATGAATTGCGGAATGTAGGCAAAATCCAGCGCGCTGTTAAGCGCAAGCTCTCTCGGTTTCATCAAGGCTTGAAGTCGAGGCGCGGGCTGGTTCAAAAAGTTGTGAACGAAACGATGCAGCAAGAAGGTAGGAGTTAGGATTCCACCCGTAACGGTGGACAGACCCTGAAATTAAAAATGGGGCATTTTGAGACTTCATACAAAATTAGTCCCTCCAAAATGAAAATTCAGTAACCCACCCTAAACACATTGTCCATCATAATTCTCGTCTGCTTATCAAAAGTGAACAAGCTCGGGATGATAATCTGTTCATGCATTTTTCGATAGTAAATCCTCGCTGATTCCAGATCCGGTTGAAGAAATACGTTGTACTTATCATCGATCCCCAAGCCGTATCTAAATTTAAATTAAATTAATTACATAAAGCTAATTAATCTTTAAGTTTGTTACGAGTTAAGTCGATTTAGTTGGAAAATTTCGTATTTATCTTTGAAATCTGGTATTAAAATAATACAAAGTGGTATTCATACATACATGACTCTACCAAAGCGGTTTTGATAAGTACTTAATCCGGTGTTTTAATAGTTCGGTATTACTGAACTACTACATGGTTTTATCATATCGGTAGCAAATTTTTACCGTAAATTTTTGTAAAATTTTAATACCAAGAAATCAATACCTGCATGACCATACCAGTTTTCTAAGAGTTTATGCAAATTATGTCATTTAATTATACTTGCTTCTTAATAACTTACGCAACAACTGCAAACAAATGATTAAACGCCCAAAAATCCTCGTTACACAGGTTGATCGCCAAATCCTTTGGAAAAAGGGTGGGATACGCGACCACGCTGTACATCACGAACACCATCGCTTGCTGGTTAAACAATGGCGGCGTAAAATTCAAACATTTCTTGGTATTAGTACAGGTCTCACATTCCCCACAATTCTTCTTATTCTCATCACAAACGCAAGTCCCGCACTTGTACGTCTTGACCTGCGCGTATTTACAGGTCGGGACGGCCTTCTGCGTACATGAGGACGCCTTGCAACCCGAGCAATGGGTGCACTTCGTCTTAACGATGGTGCACCCGCCTTCTTTACAGGAAAACACGGGTTCGCACATTTGGCACGTTTTGCACGCGTTGCACTCCGTTTTGGGCGGGCATGTCGGCCACGTGGTGGGAGACGGGGCACGTTGAGACAGCGGGATACCGGAAGCCTTCATGTCACCCTCGAATGCATCCCATAAAACGTCATTCGTTGTTTGGTTGGCATAGTGCTGCGGCCAGACGATGCACCCTTCGGTTTCTTGTTTCGCGCTTGCGCGCCCTAGGACCTCGTCATGGATGGCGTGCACGTTCTCGATGGATTCGATGTAGGACGAGTTGCCTTCGATGGGCTCCTCGTAAAAGTAGTCCTTCGTCCAGATCAAGGACTGCATAAGGGTAGCCATGTCTCGTTTGGCGTTGTCGATAGGGGTCGTGTGTTTTCTGTTGAACATGAGGGGGCTCCGGATGTCGGGCATGTTGAGTTGAATGAAGGTGCCGAAAAACATGACGAAATACCAGGGAAAGCGGTATTCCGAGGTGACTTGTTGACCTCGAAGGGCGAGGGGACGGTTGAACCAGGGTGGGATGACGCCATCGGGACGGGGTGAGTTTCCCGGGGCGGCGCGGGCAGCTATGGCCCACTCTTCGAAGGGTAGGGGACATGCGGGGAAAACGGGGGAGACGAGGCTGCAAAATTTTTTTTTAAAGTTCAAGTTAGAATTATCGGATCGTATGGATGACATTTTTGAAGCTATTTATTTACAAGCTTTCAGGGTTCAACTGCCACCTTCTTCAGGTGTGAAAGTGTAAAATTATAATTTTATGAAAGATAATATTTTCAAAATCAGAGGAGATGAAATATTGTTGACATCATTGGGGTCGCTGGGTAACTGAGATTGGGCGTGTAAAAAGTTGAACGAAGTGCAAATTATTCAAGCAAATTTGTCACATTTTTCTAATTTATTGTGAAGCCAAAACAAAAAGCATGTAATCCAACTGACAAATTTTTCAAAAAATACATAAATAAGCCTTATCAAATGGCACTAAAACTGTTCGCGAAATTAGTGAATTAAGCAATTTTATATACCATCAGTTGGAAATGTCGTTTCTTGTCGAAAAAAATGTGCAAATGAATTGGCTCAAAAGTTTCGAAAAGTGCGAAATTTTCACAACTTTCTCTCTCAAAATTGTCTCGACTTTTCTTCAGATTTACCACCTACATACCTCGGGTCATTCGTGCATCCTGGGTCGATCGGTATCCTACTGCAGGGCGGGTTGAGGAAGGCAATCGTCACTTGCAGCACTGCGAAAATAAAGGCCGCCAAGCAAAACGTTGCCCAAACTGTGGTTGGTTTCATTTCTCCAATTTTGAAAATTGCTGCTTGATTAATCTGGAGAAACTAAGATTAAACTGAATCCCGACCCTTTTATATATGTATCATCCACTGGAAAACGTAGGTACAATTCCTGTCAGCATTGACTCCAGAGATCTCCTAATGAGCAAGAACCCCGATATCTGCATACAAACTCATCTGATGCAAGAGTCTAATTATAAGTCAATGCCAGGAAACGCCCTCAATGGAGGCCAGGCACCAAATTTAATTAGTTATAGTTACATAACTACTTAAATCCAAGTACCATTAAGATGGATAAGATAATGTGCTTGTGATACATAATGTGCATGTGCACAATTGCGCACAATAAATAGATGCAAACATATGAATCTCTCCATTCATTTGACTTTGAATTTATAATCGTATAAGTTTATTGATGCAGATTAAAAAATATATTTACGTATGACAGTGATACCTGATATCAATTTTGGGTACCAATCATGCATACAGATCGGAACAACAAGTACATATGTAGATTCAAAGTGCATAAAAATAGGGAACATCTTGATGACCGTGCACAACAGAGAGGACCAATAAATATATACGTATGTATGTGCCATACAGTGGCCGCGGAAGTATGGGAACAGGGCTAATGTCCCCACAGTTATTAGATATCCCCGAATAAAAATATCCGAATATCCGAATAAAAATATCCGAAAAGAATATATGTAAATATCCTATCATACTATTGTCCCCACAACTTGCACGGCCACTGATGCAATGAGTCAAGGTTCGTGGTCGTGGTGCATCTAAAAATGTTCATTTTTATGTCATTAATAAGTACATATTTTATTTCTGCAGGGACGAATTTGTCACGTTGTCGGAAATTAATTATTATTTGCATATGCGTTCTACATACATAAATATTTGCATACGATGAAATAATAATTTTCCTGCAGTGTGACTATGATTTATTTCATGACTTGATTAAGTTCTCTGCTAATCTGATATGACATCAGATTAGCAGAGAACAAATAAATGCCTGGTTGGTGAAGATTGAGGTAACAGGTTAATTTTGTAAAGCCAAGTAGCTCATTAATTTCGACAGGACCATTTCATTAAGTCTGTGAGGTCACAGATCACTCACAGCGCATCATTTTTCAGCCGTGTAAGAAAGTAATGTGATACATTTTTTGCCCAAAACCTGTCCATCGACATCGACCTACCTCAATTTTTGTGAGGTAGCCGATTAATTAAGGAACAAGATCATTTACACTTCGCAACAATCTGTTAGAACTCGTCGATAAAGTTGCACTGGAAATACTTACTGGATACCTGTCCAGGCTAGGTATGCAATGTACCTGAAATTGCTACTGGGTTTACTATGCATAGGTATTTATAGAAGTAGATACTTACGCAATTTTCCTAAAACCAGGATGCAGAATTTGCATACTTACTATTGGGCATATTCACGTCAAACTGGTACTGGAAAAGATGTAAAAATTTAGCTTATCATAAATTACTCTTGTACCAGTGTTCACAGGGTTGTTAAAAATTGAATATGTTTCACTTATCGATATACATTCGAATCCTACACCCGTCATAAAGTTGTGCAAAATTTACGCAAAGTTGAGTAAAAACAAGGACGCCACTACAAGATTGTGTAAAATTCATCCACCTTGCAAATTAGCGGGATAAACACTGGGTCGTGTCATCTACTTTTATAGCTAATCCTCACTCTAAGCAAGTTGGTAGCAATAGCCTGAATTTAATTGCTACCAACCAATAGTAAAGGCTGTTCTTACTGAAATTGTGTTAAAATTGTCACCAACATTGACACAATTTTCAGCTTTGGTTGCTACCGTAAAAATAAGTATGTTTGTAAATAAACTATGAGAAGTTTAATAAAATTCTGTAGAAAATCGACCCCGTATTGTAGCATTTCGATTCATTACCGGCCCTCGTAACGATTTTTCACAAAACTATTGTGTTACATTCTCACCATGTTCTGTCTGTCTCACACAAAGTAGTAACAGTCAAAGCGTGGATTTTAGTTTCGTTGGCGGTTACTCTGCCCTTTATAAAGCTGCAGAATGGAAAAATTAATTCGTGTTTCCAACTCCCTGAGGGGGAAAAAATTAATTGTTTTCAGTGGGGATTATTTAGATTTCTTGGATTCAGGTAAGGCCAACCATTATACCAAAGTACAAAGTTTATTGTGTTTGAATATAGTTTTTAAAATTAATTAACGTTTAATTTTTAGTTAAAAGGAAGTGTGTGATGTTGCTGCAGATGTCGAAATCAATTTGTTCGACGATCAAGGTGCAGAAATTGAAGAGGAGGTGTTCCCTATTTTAATTCGGCAGCAGGACACGCCCAACATTGTGTTTTCTCTCATTGGAGAAATACAAACCGAGCTTACATTTGAGGCAAACGGAAGCATTAACTCTCTGATGATTTATTGTAAGCTAGGATTCTTATTATCAATAAGTTCTATTTTTTAATTAACTAAACCAGTTTGCCTTTTTATATTTGTACGTTCACAAGGTCAAACTTCTCACGTTAATTCGCCTCCTGTTCTTTCGTCAACTAAAAATACAATTGAAAGTGGATTTAAGCAGGTAAAAAACAATCTTCAAAACACAAATTTTACAAAAATATTAAGTATTGAAAACAAATTAATATTGCGTTATTATATTTTTATAGATATTTGAAGAATTTATACAAAGTGACGAGGAATTACAACGTTTAGTCACCGATTGCAATGAAAAAGCCTTTGTCGATACATGCACGGGGAATATTTTAATAAAATCATTTGTTAATAAATTAATTGAGCTAAAAGGGTAAGGACAGAATTATCTTATAGAATGAATTTTACATTCCGGACTTAATATTATTTCTTGCTTAATAGGAATTCACCTTCAACAGCTGACCAGAAATTACTTGCCCATATTGTAATTTCAATCTTACCTTGCTGGAAGTATGCAGCATCAGAAAACGGAATTGTAAGTGTCACAATATATAATTTAAACATTCGACATGTATAATAGCCAAGGTCAAGATTGACACATGTTTAGTCATTTCTGCTGTTCTGAAAATTTATTTAAAAACTCTGAGCCACAAACTTTTACACTGATGGATGGAAATTAAAAAAATATACACTATAGAATTGGACAATTTTTGTAGGAGGAGATTAAGAAAATAGGAACTAATTAGCCCCAATTAACAAACATCGTAGTAATTTAGTTAACATAATGAGCACAAATATGTCCAGAATTTTAAAATCGATTCTCACAACCGAAGAGTGATCAAAATTGTGCTGAATTGTAATATTTTGGTGATGAGTCGTCGAGTTCTACGTTAATAATTAACAATTTATTTCGTGTTACAGGATATACTTTACGACGAGGGTAACCGTTCTGGGCTTATCCAAGCTCGCCTAAGAACAATTCATCGCCATCTAAACGAAGCGAAGCATCCAAAATCAAAACGCGTTTGCAAAAATCACATCGGTGTACCAAATTCGGATGTAGAAGATTCATTTGAAGTTAACGAAGAAGTAATTGCTCAACTTAATTGTACACCAATTAAAGATGAAGAAGAGTTGAAGAGACTGGCATTGGAAACACTCCCTCACCGTAATTATTTACGTCTCAGAAGTGACTCATCCATTCTGAAGATTTACAGAAAATTCCAGGAATGGAAATCTATGGTAATTTGATTTAATTACATGAAAAACAACTAAAATAACTAAAAACAGTTTTCTTGCTTTATAGATCCATTTTGAGTTTTCTCAACTTCACCCTGAGCAAAGCGACAGCTTTTTAAAATCTTGGCCGACTTGGGTAGACAAAATATTACAAAGGGCCAGCAGTATCAAAAAGTCTCCTGCGCTTATACGATTTCTTGCACAGGGCTGTGGTAAAATATTTATTTGAATAATAGCAATAAATACAATATTTTAACTTACCACAAACACATCAATACGTCAAAAATTTTATAGGGGAATGGGATTCTTCAATTGGTGCGCTGTTTACATTACTCCATTTGATTCCGCCAACAGCACAAGGACAAGGGAAAGCAAATCATTGTACTTTGGATGGTGCATAAATAAAATTAATTAATTTCTTCAAGGTATTTGGAACACCAAAATAAGCTTCGATATTTTTTGTGTATTTAATGCATATAAATTTTAAATAGGTCAAAAATAGTTATTTTTGATTAAAACTATCATTTTGGTTATAGGCCGGGACTCCATTGAAATCTATCTTGGATACGTGGAAAGTCGAGTTGAAGCAGCCAAATCTAGTTTGTTTAGTAGTTGATAAGAAAAATTTGTCAAGCTTTTTCATCGCATGTGACGGTCAGCTGCTTCCAATTGCATCCAAAAATTCCACCGAAGCTATTGACATTCTCTTCAAAAGCCATTATGTATTTGGGACGGAGTACGACATCAGTTTAAGGGGGCTATGGAAATTTATTCAAGTTTACATTTATGGATTGGAGACGGATGCCGAAAATCTGCCTCGTAATGTGAAACAGGTTTTTTACCAGCTTAATTAAGAGTACATATTTCAAAATGTTCAATTGCACCTTATGCAGTAAATTGATGTTAGATAGTGCTAGTTTAATTAAGCACGTTAAGTACATACATAATTTTAGTCATGTATGCTTTAAAGAGGTAATATGTCCGTTTAGTAATTGTTTGACTAAAATTAATTCCTGGAGTTATTTTTTAAGGCATACAAAATCTCATGACGTTAAATCTGTCGATACAATTACTCCAAATATACAACCAAACAACGGAGATAATATAGAAATAATTAGTCCAAACAATTTTGATGATTTTGATTTTGCAAGTAATTCTTCAAATGAAATATCCGTAGATTTAGGAATTAAGGTGATGACAGTATCATTAACCAATTTTTGTTTCACTTTACTTGCAACTGGTGTCAGCAACTCCACATTAGATTTTATAGTTAAAGAGTTGAAATATTCAATGAAAGATATTTTTAATTTGATTCTTAAAATTGGCGACAGTGCAATTCCATCAAATAATT